TACATTACGCCTCAACAGGAAATTACGTATCATATGCATTAAGAACAGTTCTTGTACCGAAAGTCCAAAGGTGGCTACACTCTCTACGTTAGAGAAAATTCGACCTAGTCATCTGAAAAACTGACTTTTAAAAATGCTAAAGAATAATTTTCTCGCTCAGATCTCGATATTAATGAACCTATTGTATCGTAGAAATTAAACTGCAATTGTTGTTTAGGGCAGTCTTGCACGTTTTACTTTAATGGCCTGGAGAGGGGTGTTTTAACAATCATATTTTACTTAGTGAAGTAAACAGATAAACGTTTGAAATATTTTTATCAAATCTCTGATGTTCTGAAAAGTTAGTTCAACCTTACTTTATTCGCTTTTGAAAATCATAAGATAAAAATTCAAACATTTGTAGATTACTGTTTGTTGCGTTTCTTTTTCGTGTCGGTATAGATATTTCAGGTATTTAAATCATGTTACCTGGTAACAGGTAAAAATCTAGAACGAAGACAAGGAAGTATATTGTTATGTACGGGACTAAAAGGGAGGCCATGTTGGATTAAGGGGTGAGACAAATTAATTATTAATATTTAACATATTATAAGACCTTTCGAGATGTCATAACTGATCCCAAGTCTAGTATAATACATTAGCTGAAATGCATGAGAGAACCACTTTAGATCATACTGACTACATGAATTTTTTTGACTGTTAGCAAGTGTTTACATTTTCTTCCAAATAATATATTTTTTTAAACCTAAGGAAAGTTTGCTCGGATTTGTTTTCAAATTGTAACAAATTTATCCTTGGTATTCTAACTTTCTAAACCGAGTTGTTCAACAATGTCACAAAGAAAACACACATGCAACAAAATCATATTTTTCATTTTTCAAAATTTAAATAGCGTGTATTTTCTTTAGTCAGTGACCCATGCCTCCATTTACTTTATACAGGGTCATCTGGTTTTTGACCAAAACCCCATGATGGACCCCCTAGCTGGACAGACCTCAAGTACTCCTCCTCTGTGACCTGTGTCAAAAAGCTGCATTACAGAATCACTGTGAACTTTGTCAGATTAACCTGTGTAAGGCCTGTGTAGGAGAGCATCTCTCTGATTTATCTAAAAGACACAATGTCGTACCATACAAACACAGAAAATCTACTCCTATCTATGAACTACACTTCTATCCAAAATGTCCAAACCATACACAGAAACATTGTAAACTTTACTGTGAGAAATGTGACATTTCTGTCTGTTCTACCTGCATCTCCTCTGAGAAACATCATAGGCATAAGATAACAAATATCTTACAGAATCCCAGCTTTATAAAAGAAATTTTAAACAATGATTTTAAAGAACTGGAAAAAAGAATATGTCCTACATATGAAGAAATTGCATTAGATTTAAACTCCGAAAGACTTAATTTGGAAAAACATTATGAGAAACTGACAACAGCTGTCACCAAACAAGGAGAAGACTGGCACAGAGAAATTAACATCGTTGTCAATAGAGAGAAATCTGAAATTGATGAGATGAAAACTAAACACTTGGCTGCACTTAATAAACAGGAAAATAAAATCAAACAGAACACTTCTGATGTTAAATAGTGCATACTTGATCTAAAGAAATTACTGGACTCCAATGATGTCTCCCTAACCTCTGCATACAAATCTAGGAATGCTGAGTCCAGAAGTTTACCTCCTAAAATCAATGCTACATTACCAAGTTTTTCTCCTCATCAGATCAACACACAACAGTTCAATCAAATGTTTGGTTCTCTGGCATCATTATTCATTACAACAGAAGAACATCGCTACACGATGAAGACATCAGAAGATGTATCCTGTCCTCCAGTCAAACCACTGCTTGATGAACCAGAGTTCATTACCACCATAGACACTGGGTATAACTATCTACACAGTGTTACCTGTCTCAGTGATGAAGAAATCTGGACACGTGGAGAAGACAATAATTCCAGCTTTCTTTTAGACGTATAAGCCATTTCATTTAAGGAATAAACCTTGCAATTTGTCATATTTACTGGAGAAGACAATATCATGAAACTCTACAACCTCCAGGGCAAACTACTGAAGTCAATACAAACCAAGTCTGGGAACATACCACGTGACAAAGAGTGGAGATTGTCTTTATACTGACCCTAATACAATGTACAAGAACTGTAAACATAGTGAAGAATAAACAGATACAGGAAGTGATTAGACCACTGAGGTGGATACCTTACTATGTCTGTAGTGCCTCCCCTGGTGACCTCCTGTTTACTATGGTCAATGATGGTGATAAAGAATCAAAAGTTGTCCGTTACTCTGGCTCCTTAGAGAAGTAAACCATTCAGTTTGATAGTGAAAGTAAACCTTTGTATTCATCTTGTTACAATAGTAAACACATCAGTGAGAACAGAAACCTCATTATCTGTGTGGCTGACCGTGGAGCCGGTCAAGTAGTGGTGGTTAATCAGGCAGGAAAACTCCGACTTAGATACACTGGTCATCCCTTTATTACCAAGGGATCATTTTATCCACGTGGCATCACAACAGACAGTCAGAGTCAGATCCTGAAAGCAGACAGTAATAACGACTATATCCACATCCTAGATAAGGAAGGACAGTTCCTCTGTTACATTGAAAACTGTTATCTACAGCATCCATGGGGTTTACGTGTAGACACTAAAGACAACCTCTTTGTGGCTGAGTTTCACATTGGTAAAGTCAAAAAAATCAAAAACATGTACTAAATAAAATGATTTTAAATAAATTGTTTGTGATATATTTTTTCCCAGTAACCAAAATCAAAAGAACTTATTGTTTGATACAGATTCACTTTCTAGTGCTCATGTGTGTGTGTGAAAATATTTCAAAACTAATCATATAGTAATAGAGGAAAATATGAATAAAAGTTTATTCTTCAATAATAATTGATCAATATTCGACCCCAGGTTGAAATGACTGCTCAATTAAGATGTAAATTGTAAGAAACATTCTATATCTCATTACAAATACCATGTATATACGAGTACATGTATGTGAGCATGACAAAAGACAAAAAATTATTATTTACATGTTTTCAAGTTGACTCTTAGTATCATTCACTGCAAAGTAGTTTTGATTTTATTGTATTTTTTATGCAGTTAGATTCATAACATAAATTAGTATCTACATCATCTTAATCAAGCTACATGGATATGTAATTCATCTAAGGAATTTAATTGACCAAAATAAATAAATAAATGCAACACTTCATTTTATGTTTTTCATGGATTCATTGCCGGGTGGCAGATGACAAGATTTTACTGTATCAAACATGTAGTATCCAAAAATAATCATGAGAAATCTGATTCTAAAGAAAATTATTGTAGTTGTTTTCATCTGAATTAAATTCACATATACATAACATAGTTAAAAATTATTTCCATGGATACTAATAGGTCAAGTTCCATTTGATATTGGCTCAATAGTTTACTGCCCTGCCAGTAGCACTTAACATTAAAATCCTTCCTAGATGTAAAGTATATTTTCTCTGAATGTCTTTATTTCAAGTCATATTTAAAGACAACATAAATCATTTCACTATAGGGAGCCACCTGTGTCTGTTTTTATAACTTATCAGCTCCCCGTGTTGAGCCTCAGTAGTCTTCTTACTCTCCTTATGAGGGCCTCCACAAAGCTGTAGTGGGTCCTGGACTTACAGTATTCCTAAACAAACAATGGTTAATAAATCCAAAGATTTGTCACAGATAAATTATGAATTAAGTATGAACCATTTAAAATATTTTTAAAATTACTCCGCTCAAAAAGTGGGGCAGGGGGATGGTTATATAGTGATGGGATGTATATTTATCCGTCTAGCTGTATGCCCGCCCCTTACACATTTTGGGTACCAATCTCTTACTTATATCTCTATGAATAAAATTGAATACTTTTACAATTGTTTTTATCACTTAGTGCCATTTTGGACCTATTTTACTTCTTGAATTGACACTTAATTCATGCCTCCCAGACCTAAGACATGGAGTTAATCATTATAATCATATGAGATACGAGGTATTATTTTGGAGACTCAGTGCTAACAGTATCTCCGTTTTATTTTTATGGTCTCTTAATTACTAAGCAGTGACATCTTGCACAAATTGTACTTAATTAAAAACGAAAATCTCCTAATAAAATTTTCCAGTGTTCCCTGTCGATCATTAGATGATCTCAATTGAAGAGGATTTAAGATCAGCTGTGGGAAAGGGGTAAATAACTTACTATACCCCCCGCTTGAAAAGTGGGAGGGTATATAGTAATCGGTATGTCCGTCCGTTTGTCCCTCTTGTTACGCTTTGAGGTACCTATCTTATCCTAAACTCTCTCAAACCACGGAAGGAAATTTAATGAATATTCACAGAATCTTTATTACTTTTGCCATTGTGCACCTTTTAATTTACTTTTTTATCTGACATATATTTTGGATTTTCCAGAGCAAAACATGGATACTGCTATTATATTCATATGGGTGGCGGGGTATTTGTTGATTGAGCTCATTGCTCACAGTACCCCTAGTTTAATGTGGACTGATTTAGAGGGGGCTAAAGCTGTAGTAACTTTTTCTTTTTTTTTCCTTTCATTTTTGTTTCTCTTAGACTTCTCCTTTTATTATTTGGAATCATTACCTGTCCTTTTACTTTTACAAGGTATGGTCACTCTTTTGTATCTTTTTGGGGAGTGATTGATGTATTTTACTTGGTCAATCTTTTGTATCTTTCTGAGGAGTGAGTTGTGTAATTTACCTGGTCAATCTTTTGTATCTTTTTGATAAGTTATTGGGTATTTTACCTGGTCAATCTTTTGTATCTTTATGAGTAGTGGGTGTTGTATTTTACCTGGTCAATCTTCTGTGTCGTTTTGAGGAGTGAGTGATGTATTTTACCTCGAAAATCTTTTGTATCTTTTGAGGAGTAAGTCGAGTATTGCACAGTTTGCCGTCTGCTTCAGTGTTTTCATATCTTCACTGGTCACCCCCATCATAAGCTGCCTGTCTATGTCTGGTAGAGAGTCAGCATCAGATTCTCCAAATGATGAAAGAGAAATCCCTGTCAAATCTGTAGACATTAAAAGATTAATCAGCAAGCAGTACCTATGTAGAATAATCCATTCAGAGACAGAAAACTCTTCAATACTGTATACAGGGTTATTTTCACCCTATTTTATTTTCACCCCGCAAACAATTTGCCCAATAGATAAAATCACCAGACACAAATAGGTTTTCAGGAGAAGAAACAATTTTTTTTTAAATTCTTCCTGGCAAAAGTAAATTGGTTGAATATAAGCATTTTGTCGTTTTTTTTTTTGACAATAAACATATGTTCTCCCCGTGTCACATAAAAAGCTTTGGTATGAATATGTAAAATAACAGTTTATGTTAACTGTAAAAAGGAATTTTTGTGACACGAGGAGGGGGGGAGTTTTAAAAATATTTTCTGTTGATTTCTATAGTGAAAAACACAAATTTTACCAAAACGTTAGAGTTATCTCCATTGTTTTTCCAAATAAGTAATGTTTTATGAAAATCCATAAAATTATCTATAAAAATATTAAAAATTCATCGAATATGTTTACTTTTGGAAATTGACTTGGAGGTAGGTGGGAGAACAATACAATCGTTCGCAGTTCTTTATGTAGCTGTAGATTCAAAATAACTTCACTTATCCATAAATTTGAAATATCCGTGTTTGTACTAAACGAGTTTTACTGTCTTTATTGATTTTACAAAGTTTCACGTCCAACTGCTATTTTTCTCATCCTTTGTTATAAATACAAGCCAGTAGAGCTACAGTCTCGACAGAGACTTCTGGTTATCCCCTGGCAACGGAGTTATATAGTAATGCAATTGAGTGTGTTCGTTTGTGGGCGAATGAGTTAGTACTGTAAGAATCAAAAGTGAAGTCGAATGCTGTCTTTTTTCGAAGGTATGCTCCTTGCGAGAGAATGCTCCGTTTTGTTTTGCTCTTGTTTAATTTTGATCTGTGAGTATATTTCAAATAAAGGCAGTAAAGTAATTGACCTCAACCCAATTTGCAAGATGTATGTCGCTATAGCCCAGTTACATTTTTGGGACAAAGTATACAATACATGTGTGATTGAATTTTTTTTTTTTAATTTTCCGACCCCTTATAATTTAGAAACGATTTTCACGAATAGCATACATGTAGTGTAAACATTGAGTTCGTGTCAAATTATTATTATTGCATTAGGGGATTACTTGTAAGATTAGGAGAAACTCATAATATTCTTGACCAATGAACCTCTAATTTCTTTAGAAAAAAAAATTTGACGTCGTTAACTTAAAAAAAGGAGAAAAATGAGTATTAAACAAGATGTGTTTATGAAACACTATGCGCCCGATGGCAACAATTAAAAAAGCTTTTATAATACATTGTATGTAGGTCTCAGTCAAGGTTATTAACCTTGTTGTAATTTGAAAGAACTTACATGTAACTAGTGGAGTATGCATATCAAATATGAAGTCTCTATCACCTATGGTTCAAAAGTTATGGCGAGAGTTAGAAAAAACTATTCTTAGTATATTATAGGTCACAGTTAAGGTCAAAAAGTCATCGAACTTGGTGTCATTTGAAAGAATTTAATTAGTCGAGTATGCATACTAAATCTGAAGTCTCCATCAACTTTGGTTCAAAAGTTATGGCGAAGGCTGAAGTTGACAACAGACAATCAGATAAACAAACAGATAGGACAAAAACAACATACATCTCTGATCTTTCGATCTGGGCGCATAAAGTGTTAATACACAACCTTGAATGTTTATTATATCCTTCTCTTGTGAAGTTATGAACTGAAACTTGACAAAATTATGTTCAATAACTCTGATGAACATTTTATGTCTCAATGCCAGGTTTTGACCCAAATAATCCGCCCATATTTACAGGGGAGGTTGTTGATGTACTAGATCCCGATCCTTTCCTGAGAATTACTAACGGAATTCCAGGTACCAACGAAAATCAGACAACGTCGTATAATATGGGAGTGAAACAAGATTCAGAATTGGGCCCCTCTACTTTAATGACACACACATTCGTATTGTGGACGGAACTAAAAATTTGCCAGACGAAAGCATTGCTGTCATGTGCAACCAAATTGAAATACAAAGTCTTCCCCACGGGACTTTTTTTGAACCTGGTGATTCTGGAGCCTTTGTTTTTTGTATCAACCCTGATAAGACACTAAGCTGTATAGGGATGGCTATTGCTTCTACCACCAAAGGATTCTGTTTTGTGACGCAAATGACTTGAATTTTAGATTCTTTTGGTCTTCCTCGTAGATTAAAACCAAGTCCCTCTATGTCCTCTACAAACACCTGTAGAGTATAAGACAATCCTTCAAGTTCAGAGTTATCAGCTCAGATGTGCAAAACCAACAAAGAAATATTCAATCTTCATTACATGCAAACGGACGTTGGAAATTTGAAAACAGAAGTTAAATATTTGAAAACGGATGTTAAAGCAGAATTTGGAAACTTAAAAACTGTAGTTAAAACAGATGTTGGAAATATAAGAACGGAAGTTGAAGCAGAGGTTGGAAATTTGAAAAATCAAGTTCAAACGAAAGTTGGGTGTTTGAAAGCTCAAGTTCAAGAAATCAAAGATGAATTTCAAACCAAGACATCTGAAAGCGTGTCTGGTGTCAATTAAAATTAAAAACTTCGTGATCTTCTGTATTGAATCCGATACAGCATTTA